TAGTCGTTGATCGATTTTCGAAACAAGCACACTTTATTCCCACCACCAAAGACATAGACTCGAAGGGTATTTCCGAGCTATTTCTGAAAAATGTATGGAAACATCACAGAACACCAAAAAAAGTGATTTCAGATAGAGGAACTCAGTTCATATCGAAGTTCATGGGACAAATGTCAAAAAGATTAGGAACAAAATGGTCTGCGTCGACCTCCTATCATCCCAGAACCGATGGACAGACTGAACGCGTAAACCAAGAAGTAGAACAATATTTGCGCATGTTCACGTCATATAGACAGAATGATTGGGTATCTTGGCTGCCGATAGCAGAGTTTTCACACAACAATGCAGTCACAGTAACCGGTCACAGTCCATTCAAAGTTCTCTATGGGTATAACCCAGATTTCACGATTCATCCAAACTCCATGTCCGTAATCCCCGCCGCTGATGAGAGAGTTGATCAGATGAAAGAAGCGAGAGATGATGCCGAAAACACTCTTAAGATGGTCAATGAGCGCATGAAGCGTTTCTACGACAAAGGAGTAAAAGAAGCACCTCAGTATAAGATAGGAGACAAGGTCTGGCTTGACGCAAAAAATCTTAAACAACGTCGTCCGAGTCAAAAACTGTCAGATCGTCGTCTAGGTCCCTTCGAAATACTAGAGAAGATTGGTGAAGTGAACTACAAGTTGAAATTACTGGAAAAATATCAGATCCACCCGGTTTTCCACGTAGAATTGCTTACGCCATATCACGCATCTCGATTGATTCCTCATCCTCCTCCCAACCGACCACCTCCAGAATTGATTGACGATCAGGAAGAATTTGCTGTAGAAGAAGTACTAGATAGCCGATTGTTCCGAGGAAAGCTGCAATACCTAGTGAAATGGGAAGGATACCCGAAGGAAGAGTCATCTTGGGAGCCAGAAGAGAATTTGAAGAATGCTCCAATTCCTTTAGCGGAGTTCCATAAAGAGAATCCCACGGCCGCAGCCGGAAAATACCGAAGAATCAAAGGCTCAGTACTATTTACGGAAGATTTCAAACGATGGAGAGAAAAGAATATCCGACCTTCATTCGTTCGTGATGACACTCACCTTAGAGAGGGGGTAATGTCACGAGTACCTTTAACGAACCATTATTCTTTCCTGAATCTTCCTAAACGCCAATACACAGCGCCTAAGATTAACCCTAACCCTACCCCGAAAGCGTCTACCAGTTCAGAGATTCCATTAGCGCCCACGACACGTGTCTTCGATGTGACTGATGAAGAAGACGAGTTCTTTGACTGTGATTAGATTAGATAAGATACGATAAGATAAGATATGGTCACGTGATACTTCTTTAATATTCTACGATGTTCTATGGTACGATTCCCTTTTCTATTTTATGATTGGCTAGTAGTTAGAACTCAGTTTCAATCTCCGTCTCAATAGTTGTATATAGTTAGCATGTCTTGGTAGATAGTTCCTTAGTTCAAACCTCTTGTATCTACATTGTAGCAATCCAAGACGTACCTGCTCATTATCATCTTTATCCGATAACCTTGTTTGAGTCCTAGTCTCTGCCCAGCGTTAATTCGTTATTGGGTTGTGACACAATGTCTCCGACAATGAATTTTTCGAATGCTATGTCCCTGCTGATGGACCCAACACAACCACAACTCCGAAAGCACAGTGTATTTGGGGTATGTTACTTATTTTCCGCCAGAATAATTCTAACATGACACAGATGAGATTGTTGAGCAATTCAAATTCTTTCCTGTTCTTCATCGAATCTTATCCTCTCGTCCGAATGTCACTCCAATAGCCATCACCACTGGTATTGGCCCGCATGGCAGGAAGACTGTGCACTACCAGCCTCCAAGTGATGACAAAGGGCCAGAACTTGCATCGGAGAATTTTTCACAGATCCAGAGCCTCCACACAGCCCTTCAGAACGAGGCTGCACACCGTGGAATCTCCCCATCTTTTGAGTCTCCTTTCAATACTATTGTAGATTGCACGGAAGCATCGTTGCGTGAACAACTCTACTGCACCCTCAGAAATTCCTGCAAGGCGAGCAATGTCCAGTACCGAGGCACCATTGCCATATCTACCCATTCGATAGAGAGTGACAGCAAGCTGAGTCTGAACAGGCGCCTGTGCATTGTTGGAATTATTGGAAAAAACCAGATGACCTTCAATTAGATTGAGCAGGACTTGAAACGTCATTGGAGAAACACGGAGCATGTGAATAAAGCGATTATGATCAGATGGAGATTTTGCGTATTCCCAAGCAATGTGCAGGGTGCTGGCTTTTGCAACAGGGGAGCGCTCTTGTAGATAACGAGTTTGTTGAATAGCAAGAATGCAAGATAAGTCGCAATGCTGCTGTACTGCTGCCTCTTCGAGTGTCATATCTGGCTGACACAAAGTACGAAGAACCATAAGCAAGAGATATGAGTGAAGGTATTGCTCGCGTGATGTTCGGAGATGTGCCAGATGTTCGGAGACGTGCCATTGAGTGTAATGTGGTTTCGGACAGTGTTAAGTTATCATTGATTATATAATACATTCGTTCAAGTACAAAATGGGTAGTGGTATATGGGCGAGGGGGGTCGTGGGCGTGGGCGGTGGGCGTGGGCGCCCAACTTTGAACGTCCCTATTGGCGCAGCGCCACTGCGGAATACTCCGATGTGAAAGAGCCTCTCAGCCAAAGGTCCTCTCAGTATACCTCACACCATATTACGCACCTTGCCTACGTGCAAGGCTATATTTGACCTCCAGAATACCAGATCTCTTGTGTCTGTAACTTACTAGTGTCGAGAACATTCAAATTTTGTCGACATGTCATCTTCCGCTCAAGGGCTTTACTCACTGGCCACTCTCATCAAACGGTGTGCATCATTAACATGTACAAGCCAGATCTATCGGAGCTGACATCAATGTTCAATTAGGCTTGAAGCAATTACATCGCGTCTTGAAGACGTGGAAGATTCCAGGAGTGCGGGACATCTCAAACGACAGAGTACAAGCACTGTTACTAGCGCAGCGGTTGCTGAAACTCCATCGGCTTCGGTGTCCCCACCGTCGCCACCTGCGATCGAGGTACCAGCAGCAGTTCCACGGGCAGTCGCTGCATACGATGAGATTGTTATAGAGGGGAAGCTTAAACCCTTTCTGGAGATTAATCAAGCCATCGCGCCTCCTCCACTAAATGAGCAGGTTAATATTATGCTTCCCTCATTTTTTGTTATGTTTCATATTGAAGATGTGCATTTCTCAGGTTAATCTATTTGCCAGAGTACTTGCTACCTTGCGGTCTGTACTTCACCAGGCCGCAGCATGCAGAAAGCCAGACCAGAAGTCATTAGCCGAAATCCTTACGCCACTCCAAGCAGGCATTGAAGCTGTGACTCGCGCTAAAGAGGCTGCGAGAAAGGAGCGAGACTGGTTCAATCACTTCACTGTCATCGCAGATGGGACTGCTTTCGTTGGATGGGTCACTGTGGTATGATCTTGACGGGTCAAAATACTGTTGAATGACGACGATCCACAGGAACCCAAACCGGGACCATACGTAAATGAGATAAAGGAAAGTACTACGTACTACGCGAATAGGATACTCAAGGATTTCAAAGAAAAGTGTGACCGACATCTTATTGGAATGGTCTAAGTTGACGTCCATTCTAGGGACCCAAGACATGCGGAGTGGGTTAGGGGATTCAATGGGGTCCTTGATGGAATGAAGCGCTATGTTATGGAATTCCACACTACTGGTCTTGTTTGGAATGCCAACGTGAGTATCTATTTGCCATTGAATTACAAACCATCATATACCACTTCCTGCAGGGTATCCCGGTCTCAGAGTACAAATCGTCCCGTTCACAGACAATCAGTGGTCCGCCGCCGCCGCCTCCTCCACCGCCACCACCTCACGCTGGATCAGCATCCTCCCCTACAGCATCTGCTGGTGGGGTTGCTGCTGTATTTGCGGACTTGAACCGTGGCGCGGACGTAACAAAGGGGCTACGTAAAGTCGACAAAAGCGAGATGACACACAAGAACCCTGCCCTGCGAGCTGGAAGTGTCGTCCCTACAAGTAGCGGGGCGGGTGAGTTGTCTTACGCTCCCCATATCAAATTATTCTTATTATGCGACTAGGTGCTAAGAAACCCGTTAAACCAACCAAACCACAGGCTTTGATGGGCAAGAAGCCTGCCAAATTTGCACTGGAGGGCAGTAAATGGATCATTGTAGGTATCTCGTTTCAAATGAGGTAGTCATCTGACAGTCATGCAGGAATATCAAGAAAATGAATCCGCTTTGGAGGTCGCCAATGGGGATATCACCCAAGTGATCAGCCTCTTTGCTTGCAAGAACACGACTGTCATTATCAAGGGGAAAGTCAACGCTGTCACCTTGGGTCAGTGTCTGCTGGTTTGGTCTAACGGTACTTTTGCTCAAAAGTCCATGACAGTCAATTGCACGAAGACCTCTGTACTAGTCGAATCTGTGGTTTCTTCTGTCTCCATCACGAAGTCTCCATCGTTTGCCTTACAAATTACAGGGGTGGCACCTACTATCCAGATAGACTCGACAGACTCGGGGCAGATTTACCTCTCGAAGCAGTGTCTTGGTGTCGAGATTACTACGGCGAAATGCAGCGCAATCAATGTCAGCTTACCAGTCGAAGAGGAGGAAGATGGTGTCTTTGAAGAGCAGGCCGTGCCCGAGATGCTGAAGACAGTGGTGCAGAATGGCAAATTGGTCACAACAATTGTGGAACACGCTGGCTAACAGACAAATCGCTACCTAAGTAGTTTGTGTAATTGCAATTAATTTCCGACGCTATTTAGTATACGGGTACACATGTTCAAGTTGACACCAAAGAGATATGGTCAGAGTACTGTACCCGGGACCATGACGTTAGCCTGGCACTGCCCTGTCACGGTGTCTAAATTCATACTACATCGAGGATTGGTACAATCTGACACCACACGACCTGACCCTTGCATAGCATGGACACTGTAGGCTGGCATGCTCAGCGCAGAGCCCGTAAGGCGAGTAATAGTTCATGCTTCAGGTTGTCCTGGAAGCGATTTACAGAAGAGCCTGGTGCTACACAGGAAGCGCATCATGATTCTGAAATTCAGAGAGGACCAGGCGGGAGATATCCACCTGTAGAAGAGATAGATCCACTTCCTGATGGGGTCGGGCGCACTCAGGCTGGTGGTTTTGGTATACCACGCTTGTCATCCCTGACTCCTGGCACACCGCCTCCAGCTGTTCCCCCAAAATATTTCACCGATAATCCTGCCCAAAATGTATACGCTTCTGCTAGTTTACCTATTGAGCGGCTGGCGTCTGGTAGTTCTGGCGTCTCTTTTGTCCACATGCCTGCAGTGGAACGCTCTAGAGCGCAGAGGCTCCCCAAGATGGAACCCCACCTTCAGTTTATGGTCGGGCCCCTGTTGCGATACGATACAGTTGACGAAAATGGTCTTTGGCGAGGTGCAGCTCTTATCGTCAGTAAGTTTTCATATGCACCTGTGGCCTGTCAGTCAAGCGTTTCAACTACATTCTTTTCAGCGGCAGATTCAGGATCATCCTACGAGCCATTTCCTGTTTTAACTTATCAGTGGGACCCTGAGGAGATTTCCCGACCTTCTCCGAGCACACGGGGTTCTCATCCAGGTTATGACCTTGGCCCACACCCCGCGGATCCTCACGCTACTGCAATGGCCGGACCATCAGCGCAGTTACCTGACACAAACGAGGCATACTTCGGTGACTACAAGGGAAAAGGAAACGCGAGGGATGATCAAACTCAGCATGTGACCGGTCAGGAGATTTACGTCTATTCGGGGAATGGTGGGTGAGTGCAACCGACCAATACAGTAGTAAGGGATCTTGGAGGGCTGATACACATGTATCAGCACTTTTACGTTTTGGCGTTTCCCAATACAGATGCAACTGGGTCTCAATGAAATCTGCATCAAGTATCGTATTAACGGTGGCATGCAGTTGGCCTTCTTCGTGCCTGCCCGTCATCAAAACATGCGGTGGGCAGCCTACTCGGTGAGGGTCACACAACCTGTTTGCTGCATATTTTCTTACTTCTTCTTAGTGTAATGGATTCAGCGCTGGCGTGAATCCGGACGACTTCAGGGGACCAGGGTTTAAGAGTGGTTATGACCCTATGTGGACTGATCTCTTGCAGAAGCATGTCGAACGACCATTTCATGTCCTTGTGGGAGGAGGGGATCAGTTATACTGTGACTCGTAAGTATGTGTTTATGCACCCCCCCTGCCATTTTGAATAGTCACGCTTCTCTAATAGGGTGACTCGAGAGCCTGAAATACAAGAATGGATTTTGGCAAAGCCTTCGATGAAGAAAAATTTACCTCTGACTGATGAAATTGTCTCATCCGTCGATCGTTTTTTCTTCAATCACTACTGCGGCTCCTTCAGGATGGGGGCATTTGCGAGGGCGAACAGCTCGATGTACGTAGGCCACATAATCATAGAGATACCCTGTTACTCACGACCAACTCCTCCCCTCCTTAAAGTCCAATGTTGAATATGTGTGGTAAGACATGCGGATTGGATATCATTGATAACACACTCATGTGGCATCTGCAGATGACCACGGTAAGCCACTGATGTATGCAACGGTCGCTTTTTGACCAATGTACATTTGTAGATTTGGTGCGTGCCATTACGTTCTATTCCCTTGTCACTGACCAATCTCGTGCGTTTCAAGATCGACGGGTTCGGGAGTTGTACGTGACTTACCATTTGTTAATCAATCCTTAATCGTGATCCTCTTATTGTACAGATCCTGAAGAGCTTCAACAGTCTCCGGTGTTCAAACAGTGAGAAGCCTTGATATATCAGAAAAATCGCTCATCAATAACATCTTTAGTATCGGAGCGCGCGGCTACTTTTTCTACTTGCTTTTTCAATGCTTCATCAATCGTGTGTTGCGGATTGCAGTAAATCTCTCTGAGACTGACCTCATCATCGTCGTAGCTCTTCATGATAACTTGGACGATAGAACAGGGATGCACATATTCAAGTCACTTATCTTGGGGGCTCAAGGTCCCTATGTTGGTTTACCGTCACATTCGTTTTTGTCTTACCTGGGGCCCGATGTACACATTCTTATGCTGGACTGTCGGTAAGTTGTTACTACATCATCCTGTCTGGCATATATGCTAATGCATGAACGTCACAAGCGCGGAGAGAAAAAAGAACCAGGTCTGCAGCGAGTTCGAGTATCAAAAGGCTTTTGAACGAATCAGGTATCTACCTCCGGACGTAAAACATCTCGTAGTACAACTTGGTGCGGCCTTCAATGAGATCAGAGTCACTTTTATTTCATATTGATCCACAGGCATCCCTATTGCGTATCCGCGAATGGTTTTCCTTGAAACTGCACTAGACTTCAAGTTGAATCCTTTAATTGCCCTTGGACGCAGCGGAACCGCGGGATTCAGTAGTTTTGTGAACAAATTCAACGCGGACGCTGAGTTGCTGGATGATTTGGTATGCCATTTTCTCGTGACGCGGCGTTGCTAATTCAGCTGATAGTGTGGGCAGAATGACCACTGGACCGCGAAATGTCACAAGGTTTGAAAACAATGTTATGTGTTCGCTCTGACTCAATAAGGATATGCTTTCCAGAAAGAGCGCAACTGGTTCATTCAGCAGATGCAAGGAATAGCAAGAATGAAAAGTTTGCGTATTTCGTTTCTTTCTGGCGATGTGCATTGTGCAGCCGTAGGGGTTCTTAAAACGCTGGTCCGCAGCAACGGAGGAAAGAACAGCCGTATGATAGATGTTCCGCCTGAAACTGATTATAGATACATGATCAACGTGGTGACAAGTATGTTATGTCTACTCCGTCTTAAACTCCGAGATTTAATCCCGTTTCAGGTGCAATTGTCAACACACCGTAAGTGGTGCTGCCATCTTGCATGACGAATCATGTTGAGCCAATTGAAGGCCTCCGAATGGAGTGATCGCTATGGTATCTACTTTGGCGACCAAGACTCACAGAACGCTGCATCATGCAGAAACTGATGAAACAATGGTATGTCTCGAATCCTACAAATGATTTACAGCGATTTCATGCAGTAATTCTCGTAGCTTCCTATATTTACGAAGGAGCCAAATGGCAACCATCGCCTCCAAAACAAGTATATAATGGGGCGACGGAATTGGTGTGCAGTCTCGTGCGATCCTGAGACACAGGAATTGGAATTTGACATACGTGTCGAGACGGAGAAAGGGGTCGGCGTCAGCTTTGGGTAAGTGTATAATCTATTCTGGTTGGTATTGGAAAGACTCAACATTACGACACCCCAGATATCCAGTCCGAAGTCCTCCCCCCAGATGGTTTCCTGGAACGTGACATTTGGTGTTTCAAGATGAGAATGTACTCACTGTTCATTCCATGACCCCATCTTGTACACTGTTTCTTACCTGGATTGTGACACCGATGTATAATCTCTTTGTTTTACTCGATCTATTTTCATTATGTAGTCTATTTTTCATCCGGACCCGGATACTTCCGACTGACAGTGTCAAGAGTCTTGACCTGTAGCAACAAAGCACCGATTCCTCAAAGGCCACTGAAACACGGGTTGGCTGACGCGTGCGCCCGCTGTTGATACATGATGACCCAATCATAGAGACCCCTTCCTCAAACCCGAACTTTTCAACTCCCCGTCACGCCAGGTCCGAATCGTGTTCAGGAAAGTATATTGACTTCACGCCAGTCGCGGGTTCGTCTTCTGCAATATTCTCCGACACTTTCAACGGCATGCCGACGATGATAAGCCCAATGTCACAATTCCCTTACTACTCCATGATAGTCTAGCGTCTCATGACAATACATATCAAAGCATCTTCACCATCCTCGCCATTACAAGAAAGCGACCCATCTATTGGAATTGGAGCTCTCTCTTAACTCTAGCTGCTTCGTTCTTTTCTGTCCTAGACTCTCTATTAAAGTTTTTTGGGTCCGAGAACGAAGAACAGGCGATGCCGTCCTCTTCCACTCGCTGCTCATGGAACGCCACCACTAATTGGTTCCGTCTCTCAGGATGGTCCTGAGGTAGAGTGATGTCACTCCTGTGCGAGTGGACGAGGATAGCTTTCAATCTTCTGCGATGAAGACTCCGAGACCTCCCGGAGCGTGGACTGTTACGCCCGTCCCATTCAAACATGCTCCGAGGGTGACATTGCCGCCTTCAGTCTCCTCTGAATCGATGCCGACTGCATCGTCAATATCATGGATGACTCTGTCTTGAGCTAACTATGGACCTGAGCGGTGCTCAAAGCTTGAGGCCCCAACAGGCAATGGCCTCTACATGCTAATACATCCTCTGTCGTGTACTAAAACTTTTCACATGCGCACTCCGGAGCCCCCAGACGCATGTTTGTTGACCACAACTCAGAATTGGTTTAACAAGCAATCCAAGTCTGGTTCTATCAGAACAAAGAGGAACTCCACTGCTGAACTTAAACACCGAGTACTACCTGGCATGCATGTGCCTGTGCTCGATTCTCTACGTAAAGGTCATGCATCGCGGAACATCCCCAAACAAGAACTAATGGTTGCTCTCCAGGCGATGTCGTAGACGATCCAGTGTTAGCTAGGCCTGTAACTTTGGACACCGTATAACACCTCCTTCTCGTGCCAACACACCATCATGACCTCCACATAGAAAAGCCTCTAGCATGAAGGTTGTTGATACATTCGGTCAAGAAATGATTGACGAACTTCTTTACCGATTGCGAACGGACGTGCAGACGCGGGAGATACAATTCGTGCTTCTCCAGTTAAAATTCGTACTCCTCGTGTTTCAAGCAAGAATAAAATTCGCGTTATCGATGTAACGTGAAGAGAAGTTCAGGAAGATGCATCAAATTTACATCATGACCCACCTGTTTGTCGCACTGCGGCCCTAGCTCAAATACGGCAAACGCTCTGGGAATGGGCTGGTGTGCCGAGTGACGAAGATAGGTAATATTGTAAGCGCGAGGCTTCGCAAAAAGAGGCTGATTGATAGGAACTGTAGACTGATATTCTCGCATTGAATCCGAACTACTCCAGAGAACTCGAAGAACGTTTGAGGGCAGCACGGCGTTCTCGGAATCAATTGTCCCGGACCCTTCGCATCGAATAGGTGAAAGAGTGTAAGCGTGACTTGATGCATAAATATACCAAAGGAGCCGATGACCGAAGCGGGCTTTTGGTCTAAGACCAAGGGCACATTTGATATTATTATTCTCGCAACTAGCCGACTACCACTGGTGAAAATAGTACCTTCCGTCACAATCTGGTTTGGGTGGGAGTTCTGTTACAGATCGTATTCGTCCTTGCCGTCGGTGGGTTTCTCCATTTCATATGGAAGTTTCCTTGTCAATCTGATGAATGTCTACAGATGAGTCCAAGCTCGCCATCTCTTTTGCGCCACCTACTATGATCTTATATATGCAGACTTAACCCCCCGCATCGGCGGACGTGCCTGGGAGGGGAGAGCTGAGCGCCCTAACGCGGAGACATGGCCACCTACATGATCGTGTCATCAAGTACCTCGTGCTACCTCGTGACGCTTGCAGCCCCCGGAGTTTCCACTCTGAGCACCAGAGTGGGTTGCGTTTGCGCCATGCAACACGATCAATTCGTGGAAAAAGGGTTGATTTGAAATCCTGAGTGCGTAGCATTACTCTCCACCGCTGGTTTATAGAGATCTAATTTGTGAACGACTTTGCCAGCCACTGCGTCCCCTGGGTCCCATATCGCGTTTTTGGTTTCATCCTAACCGCGACTGGACAATTGAATAGTCTTCATATGCGATACTGCCAAGGTTCCATGCCCACGCGGTTCGATGACGACCCTTTCAGACTAATCACAATATACTGCGCTCTCGTGAGTCAAGGTCACTGCATCTGCATCGACATGTTTCATGTTTGTTGTCGTCCTTCATCTACATATCTGATTGTACATGTGAAGCAATGTGTTAATATGTATTACAGTAGATCTTCTAGGTCAATGTCCATCATGGAAGAGCTATTATTTTGCATCCGTGATTTGCGGTAAGGGCTTGCGGCTTCCCTAAATACTTCGTCGTCGTCGTCGTCGTCGTCATCGTGATGATCGACGTCTGCCGCGGATCCATCGTATTGTTCTTCTTCTCCATCCCCCTCAATGACCTCAGAGTTGTACCCACTCTCTGCTTCTGGGATGTGATTGAAATCACCACTTGACGCGGCTGTTGGTGCAGGGGAGTGTATCTGATTCATTCCACGCTCCCTCGCTTGCAACGTAGATGCGATCAAAACAGACGACCCGAGACGGTCATCACTGGGAGCTGGAGGTTCCGTTGTGGAGCCATGGGCACTCACAACCGAAGATCCTCGTAGATCTGCGTTTTTCTTTGCCCTCTTCCGAGCCTCAGTCTGCTGTCTACTTTTTTCCCTCTGCGTTTTCTTTTGTGCTTCGATTTTCTCAACCTCTGCTCTTTTGGCCGCCTCTAATGCAGCCTCTTCTTCTTCTTGATCGTCCAGATCCCACTGCTCCTTCATAAATTCCGGGTACCGCTCACAAATAGGACGCCAAGTCTGTGCTTGATTTGCATTATGATCAGCGTCCTTGAGCACACTATCTATGTCAGGGGGAGGCGGAAAGTCAAAATTTGGGCCTGGGTTCAAGCGCACGCGGGCATAGTTGAATAGGGAAATGAACGGGTAATACCCCAGCGTTCCGTCATCAAAATGGTTTTCTTTATGTTCTTGAGGGGCCCCTTCACGCGCTCGTTTCTTCTCTTTTTCCTTCTTTCTCGACGCAGGCGTCATGCGCAGAGGCAGGTAATCGAATAGGTCTTCGAACGCAATGCCTTGACATTCGCCATTGACGAAGAATGCAATGCAAGAGTCTGGCAAGTTTGGTAGAGGGCGGAGAACAGGTGCTTCTAATACCTGTCCAGGACGTACGCCTCGCTCTGGGAGGTTTTTCGTTGATGCAGCCTTCTTGTTTGATGAGGCGGATGGGAGTGATGTCGTATTACTTGTCTTATTGGAGAAGTCCATAAGAGCGATCATCTCTTTACTCTGAGGATACTCGAGAATTTCGAAATACTCCTGGCCCTTGAACTCGATAGGGATCCGTTCGCGTCGAATATGTGCGGGGTCGTGATTGTCACCGGGATCGGGTTTATGTCGAGGTGGAAGGGATATATACATGCCAATAACATCACCGCTACGGAATGAACGACCATAAGGGCGAGGGCGCGATAGATGGACCTTATCGCCATTGGTGTCACGATAGCCATATGAATATGCATCTAAGCCAGCTGGACCATTCAAAGGTGCTTCTCGTCGTGCCCAGCCGAGTCGAACGTGACTTCCTTGACGCATGTTAACATCTGGGGCATGAGTAGAGCGATCTCCTCCACCATCCTCGACGCGAACCTCCATATACCACTTGCCCTCACGGACGGGAGCATTACATCGCGCACTCCTGAAACCTCTTTCACCAATTAACCCAAGGCCATCAGGAGTGACCTTGACAAAGGAGCTGCGGTCCTCCCAGCTAACTCTATAGTTTCTGGGTAGGCTTTCGATGGTTCGACATGGAAGGGCAGATCCAGGGGGCGAGACGCCTGCTGGGACGTATCTGAAGGCCACACGATTCATAACAAGCTGTTCTGTAGTATGATACGCCACAGAAGTATCCGTGAAGGTAGGGAACCGCGATATCGTAAGACGAGGGCGAGATAAAAAGTCGTTTCGGGTGGGTAGAGCAACATTGGCTGCTATGCTTGCATTTTTGGAGTCATTGGGTGCAGGAGATGCTTCAGGATTAGACGCAACCTTGCGCTTCTTTAAAGGAACTAACGAAGGAGTAGGTGGCCTTGAACTGCTTGGTCCGTCTATTATACCTGAGCTCGAGTCTGCAGCAGTTACCATTGCTTGCGATGCGGGCGAGAGCAAGTCAAATCACAATAAAGCACGACAAACTTGTCTGGATTTGGTCGAGTTTGTTACAGTTGTTATTTCCGTTTTCGGAAAGTCGCTGCTTTTAAGCTACCTTTGAGCAGTGCTCTGGTCCACCACTTGAAGACCCACGATGACTGCTCTTAGGTATGAATCGCCGAGCCATTAATGTTTTAAGATCTTAATTGTTCACAGGCGAATTCAAAAGGTGCTCTTCCTCTTTTTCGTGAGGATTACATGAACTTGACCTTCGTGCCCCTGGATGATGTCTAGGAGCTCCAAGATATCGCAAACAGACCCCTCGATGTATGTAACTTGTTGTATAGCAGATGCAGCTTTATCTTACTAGCGCTATTCAGGGAATAACAGTCGAACCAGAAGCGGATAACTTGCTCATTTGGAAGTGTTCAGTAAAGGGCACTGTAAGTATCATTAGTAGCATTTAATTTTCTCCTCTTTCATTCACATTACTGCGTATCAAGCCAGATAGCCCGTATAAAAACGGAACATTTCACTTCAAGATCGAGCTCCCAATGAACTTTCCATTCAAAGCGCCCAGCGTGAGTTATCAACCTTCATCTTCTATGCCGCTGCATATCCGAGTTCATCCATCCGAGTCGAGCCCCGAAACGTTGCATTATGCCCATCAGTTCGATTGAGCTTCTTACCTTCGTAGCTCTTACTTTGTTTTCGTGTCATTTACGTGGGGGTTCATCCACGGCATCACTAGGTCACATTCCTGACTAAGATTTACCATCCTGGCATTAACGAAGAGGGCCATATTTGCGTCCCTATTCTTCGCGATGAGGTGAGTCCAACGTTTTCTTCACCTGCGGGGATAGTGTGTTTAAGCTTTGACATCTGTTCGCCCTGTCAAGTGGAAGCCATCAGTGACGCTATCAACAGGTAAAACTTACCTCGGATATATCCTCTGTGATTGGTTCGGACTGATAGATTTATGCTTTATTTGTAGTGCTAGCGGTTATTCAAGAGAAAGTGAATAATCCAAGCCCGGACGATCCATTCGAGCCTGAAATCGCTGCAGTGAGATTTTGGTCTTGACCATGGCTGATGTAGGCCAACCGTTTTGATTTTTAGTTGTTGAAGAACGACAAAGCAAAGTTCTTAGCTACAGCAAAGGAGTATACGAAGAAGTAAGTGGTGTCTTACCCTGTTCATAATGGGCGTCTTCGGTTCACTAAGGTATACTTACTGGTATTAGGCACGCAATGTAGTCTCGGGCAGTGGTAACAAGCCGCTCACCGTGATAGCTCCGAGCTGTCCTAACGTATGGGGACTCAGCAGAAAGTAGAGGGGTTGTCAAATGAATTTCGGTATCTTGCGGGCGTCACTGACCTGATCCCCGCGTGTGTATAATTTACATAGTTTGTTTCACTTCGTGTGAGCTGGGCGAAGGGAGTTAGATCTGGTTCACGAAGCCTGGAACGATTCGTCGAATGCACGTTCAAGTTGACTAGCAGATCAATTGGTTAGGGATCTAGAATCTGGACTTGGCATCATGCAGGGTGTGGCAACTAATTTCATTGGCATTAATGTGGACATTCAATCCGAGTCCATTCAGTTGAAAAGCTGTAGGCAGATGGACTTGTTAATTACTTGAGCGTACGCTGCTTAAAATTTCGATTCCCTTGGAGACTTGGACCCTCATGTGCAATTTGCACGAGTCTCCAAATCAGGGCACTCCGACTAGTCAGCTCGCTGAAGTTTTGAAGGCTCGAATGAGTGAAAGCACATAACTCACACCCTCCTTCTTTATTCCGCTCACCGTTATCTTGCTTTACGTGTGAGCCTCAGGTCCATCAGGATCTTTTAACGGGTACTATTCAAAGCAGTTTGAAAGAAGGATACTTTTCGTAAAGACACCAACTCGTGTTCACCACGTTGCTCATTTCCCGGAAAAGTCTCGAGATCCAATAATCCAAGCGCCTTGCCTCGTGTACTAAACGAGGGTTCCTGCCAGCAAAAACCATGCATCGTTTCCGGTGAGCCTGCTGCTCTCAACCTTTCCAATTACAAACCTCATTCGCGTATCATATATCTCGTCACCTCACTGCTGCGATTAAACGGCTTCTTCGCTTTAACTTTTATTGTTGACGTGCCTTAGCAAAAGGTCCGACCCTATTACCAGGAGTCACCCGTTTGACGAAGACTGGTTCACACCGACATCTGAGCACAAGCAATTACTAGCACTCCCGCCTGCTAGTGACTTTCGGACATCACTCATACTACCAGAGTGCGTCACAAACTTGTCTTTTCGACCTTACAACTCTCTCACAATACAGGTTCCCAGCCTTACTCGCCGTTTTACGCTTCTTCGCTCCTCCTCCGGCGATCCTCTTACACTTGACGATCTCAGGTCTAAGTTTGCGGAACAGAGAGCCCGTGGTGTGTCAAACCAGATATCAGAGGAGGAAGAGGACATGATCCTTGAGACGCTAGGGCGGATGCGTACCAAAAATGCTGTGCTCGGTCCCACTTCGAGCAGCAAACTTGAGGGCGGCTCTGACGCTAATGCCACAGACTTGGGAATGGAATCCGACTACACTCATGAGCGTACCTCTCATATATCTACCACAACCTCTTCGACCACATACCCGGCTTCGTCCGTTACTTCATCACCATCCCCAAGTTCGCGTTCAACAAAGAGGTACAGCAACAATCTTTTTGCATCTGGACGCTTTCGCGAGTACAGCTATCTCCGTTCTGTGTCGCAAAGAAGTGGTAGCAGCCGTGGCGCAGCCTCTATAACACCATCAGACTCCGATCATAGTCTTAGAGAAAAACCCTCGTCAAACTACTCCGAGAGCTTGAGACCTGTGACCCCTGAAGGCAGCGGTCCTGTATCTTCAGTACCTTCCAGCCCCAACGACAAGACTCCTTTGGCTCGTTCCACATCGTTGATATCCTCCATCGAAGATTTTCCTTCGCAGGCGCTTGCGGACAGCAACAAAAGTAACACACATCCATCAAGTAACAATTCCGTCAGCGTTCAGCGCGTCGAACTTGCTCTGGAGTGTGTTATACGTGACTTTGAAGAGGAGGCTGAGGATGAGATACTCATGCCTAGAACAGCACATCCTGCTCCACGGTCAAGCGATGTAGAACAGTCGAGCACCTCATCTCCAGCTAGTGATTCGACGTCAGGAGCTTCGGTATGGAATTTGATTGTTTCAATAATTGCATACTGAAACATGATGTCAGACGCAATCGCCCAATGACTACGAAGGGGGAACCGCAATATCATCAGATAAACAGATGAATATCGACAACGAGAGGCAACGTTTTTCACCAACCCCATTGGGTCGTGCGGGTACCATCTCCCCCACTCCTCGTCTTCCAGGTTACATCCCTGGAATGCCTCGTCCCATGACGCCTCGTGATCCTTCATTTGACTCTGATGATGCGCGTGCGCATTCCGCAACTCCACGTGCGATGTCACCTACGCTCCCAAACGTGAATGGAGCGTCACTCATCACTACAACCTTCACTTCAAGCTTACTGCGCCGAGGTTCAGACGCATCTCGTAGCACCCCACGACCCATCTCGCCGTCCGTGACCCCTCCTGCAAGCTCGTTTTTATCACGCAGTGCTGGTGGTCAATACTCGTCGGACAGTCAACGCGAGAGCGCGAGTGGTACTGACCAGGAAGCCTCTGTGTCATCCGCCTTTAGGAGGAAACCCGTATCTCCATTGACGGGCTCCGCCCTCCGGCCCATGGTCGTATCTTCTCGACCGGGTACTCCATCTAACATCACTTGGAATGTCAACTCACCCTCTAATATACCTTCTACCTCCAACCGCACTCACAGCAGGCGGGGTAGTTCTTCTAGTCACAGTCACAGTAGAAACGGCAGTCTGAGCGCGGACACTGATCTTCAATCTACTGCAGATAAATCCAAATCTCCAAATCGGCCAGTTCGAGTGCCTGTGCCTCCTGAGAGTCCCGTTTACCCTCAAGCGCCCAATGCTGGAGCGCGGAATCATTCGACTAGTCCTGCTCCTGTGGACTATCGTTCTCCATCCAGCCTTTCAGGTGTCATCAACTATGGATCCTCACGTTCATTTTCGAGCCGCAGTATGCGGTCTCCCACTCCCACTCAGTCTCGGTCCACTACCGCCTCTCCCGCATTCTCTTCAAACGACTCCCCGAGCTTCTCGAACCATGCCACCGTTCGTTCATCAAGACATCATCACAAGTCATCATCGCATTTCTCTCTTGGACTTTCTCAGCCTGTTGCCTTTTCGGCATTGACTAACTCATCTCAGTCTTCACTGGAATCCACTGGATCTAGTTATCACTCATGGTCTGCTGAGCAGAAGAAAGATGTAACTGTCGACTTCTTCAGTGATGTCGAACAACAATCCAGGTGGCATGATCTAGACAAATCTAGCTCCGTCACTCCAGGTAGCTTGCAGGATGATGAGGACTTTGAAGACATCATACGTCGGTATGCAGGTCTGACCAAATCTGATTTCGTGGTCATTCAAGACAAGCTGGTGAGCGCCGCGCGTGCCAAGGAAAACAATACAGAGCCTCGGGAGCGGACCAACTCGCTGCGGAGACGGAGACCATCGACCTCACAGTCGAACTACTCGCAGAACGGTCGTGATAACCGGGTTCGTCCTCTTCTCTTACTCCAATTTTACTTCTCACAACGGGTCACAGGTTGCAAGTCCGCCGCCAAACCAACCGGTTGCTTCCCAGGTGTCCACCACCGGACGGCGCTCCCCAGCGCCTGATCAAGCTGCCAAGGCTCATGCCCTGCTTGACTCTGTCGTGGGGAGCATCCCCCGCGCACCCACAGTTGGCGTCGTGACTGATAGCAAGGTGGAATTGGAGGATCCTGCAGAGATCAAGACGTCACCTACTACTACGCGTCGCAATAGGGATTTAGCTCGTGCCCTTGGCTTCGGAGACGAGCAAGGAGTTATAGATTCACCGCAGGACAAAAGTCCAGCTGTAGAAGACATTCCACAGTCCAATGATCCACCGAAGACCCAGGTACCACCGACAACAGCTCCCCAGCCAGTCGCGTCGCTTACTCAGGATGATATTCAGTTGTCGTCCGATGCCTCACCGTATAGCCTCCCATTCCGTTCAGCCTCGGTACGAAGTCCTCAACCATTGATGGATCAGACCGAACTCGTAAACGAAGTTCGGCGGAAAGCAGAAGCTGCTACTGCTGCTTTGATGAAGACGCCTTCTGGCCAGAGATTTACTGACGCCAATGCCTCAAGCATATCTGTGACACGGAAAAAAATCTCCCCCAGCCAAATATCTGCACCCCATTTAGTGTCAGCACCTACAAGTGTAGAAACCATCCCTCTTCCGCAACAGCCAAAGACTCTTACTTCCACTCCTCTTACTCATCAGCCCTCTCTGAACATCACCCAGAGGATGAGGCGTCTCCGTAATACTCTGAGAGTCAAACAGCCAGTTCCGAGCGGTGAAGAAGTTACTCCCTTCCCTTTGGACCTCCAGCCTACCACTGCACCACTCCCCTCAGTTTCTCTGGACCGCAGGCCGACATTGCCTCTTCCCAAGGGCTATGCTTACGGAAGCTCGACAGATTTGGGCAAGGCTAAGTCACCGACATCAATATCCAATCCCCCGGCCTCAGCTACTCCTGGCCTGAGAGGCTTCATGTCCCGCTTCCGAAAGCGTACAGCAGATACTCCAGCTGAAAATAGTAATGGGCTTTCGCGAGCTTCTCCAACCACACCTTCTTCGACGACTTCGTCACACCATAGTCAAGGCCCAGTTGGTTCTCCCGTTAATACCGTTTCACCCGCATCGGCACCTGTTCTGGCTTCGACTTCCGTGCCTATAGTAGGTGGCGTTCAGCCAAACATCGACGGACCGCCAGCGATGGGCAATGATTCTGCTGCTGTCAAACAGTTGTTTGAGGCAGCTACGAATCTTGGTCTTGATCAAGCCGCATTAAATGACCTGTTAGCACGGTCCGCCTCAGTTTCATCACGTACAGCGGGTTGGTCTTTGTCAAGGAGTACATCAAACATTGCAACAAGCTCATCCATAGCACGGGGTGATCTCTCGGCAATGCGATCTCGATCACCTCTCCCAGAACCACAATTCAGCGATGATGGCGGCATCAGCAGCGGAGGAGACGATAGGACTGTGAGAAAACTCTCCATTCGCAAGACGAGGGAATTCAGTCACAATCATCAAGGCATTCCTGAGAATCCCGCTATTGTCAGGAGAACACTTATCTTTCCCTCGGACTTTCGTGCATCTAAAACCGACTTGAGCCAGATGGCGCGTAAGCCTTCGGGTAAGCGTCATCGTCGGCCGGGCAGCGCCACATCTGCACAGTCTGGTCGTTCAGTACATGACCGCGCACCTACACCACCGCCACCGAAGTCGAATGGAGGAAAACGATTTTCGACTGATCGGTCACCTCCTTTACCCACATCAATAACCGCTCAAGCCGAGGCTCTTTTAAATCCCTTAACGTCAGATGCACCTGTCGAGAAGCCGAACTCTGCGTATGATTCTCTGTGGGTAATTAATTTGCCTGTTTTTCCGTATCTAATGCTTACCATCAGATACGACATGTACGCTGGTGAGAGCAAAAATTCAAATGCACCCGCTGACGATGCGGTGGACATTGGAAACTCTCATGAAGGGCATCCCGACGGTGCTGCCCTTGAACTGATTGAGATGGCAAATGGCGAAACAATTTGGTATGTCCTGTTCTATTGGGTAATTAAGCCCACCCACTAGTTTATTAACTGTTTTTAGGTCAATAGTGAACGGCTTGCGTGACGACGACCTTGAATCAGCTTATGCCAGTAGAACCAGTCTTACATCCGAATATTCTTTGCGCGATAACACTGAAGCCCTGCAAGTATTTGTCAAGGAACACGACAGATCGACGTCAAAGGGTAGTGGTTCGTCGTTCCTTTCCCGTAAAAAGCCATCACAGAGCAAGAATCGACCTGAAACCAAGGTGAATGGTCTTGCATCATCCCCCAACGTCATTTTTTGCTAACGCCGGAGCAGGTTTTTTATAGGTCAGTTCTTGCGCTCGGTACGGAGAAGTTCGGTACTAATTGTGTAGCTCCTCCACTCATATTGGTCGTTTGATCGAGTCACTTTCCCAGGGGATGGACGCCGGTTCATTCAATTTTGGTAACCTACCCCCTGACCGCTCTACGCCATTATCATTCCACTCTGACCCCGATGTGCACTGGACAGTTGAAGAAAAACTGGAACACATGCTGGGATCGATGAGAAATCCTTGATTGCTGGAGTTAATAATCGTTTATGCTATATTGATTTTTTCTCGTCATCTTGGGCTCGCTTGGGTGGAGAATTTACGTTTACATAGGCGTTGTTATATTGATATTCGTACAGGCCATAATACATGCATACATATTCCTTGTTCTTCCGACCAACACCTTACCCGGTCCAATCCAACCACCTATTAAGATTCAGAGTGATTAAAGCCTCTAGCAATAGAAGGTCATGACTGAAGCTATATTGTAATGTTCCGTGTGAGGGACCAATTGGCGTAGCTTGGGAGAGCTTCTGGAACTTGGCGATGCTTGTATTGGGTCCGGAGAACAGCTTTTTGAAATTCAACATGTAGCGGATGATATTTGAAATATCGTGGTGGACTTGCCTCGTAAGACCTGGGGTCAGTGTGACATTTTCGCCATTCATATTGGCGACCATCTGCGGAAGGGAATCTACGAGCGCTGAAAACCAATTTAATATTAAGGCATCGTTGCGACAGTACTAACACCGACTTACGATGTACTGGATCCCTGTTGGACCAGATGTGCCATCGGAATTTCACGATCACCAATAGTTGCGACACCGAGGCCACCGTTTGGCCAATCGAGCACTGCAACGGGACTGCGATTGCTAGATATCTGTAATGAAAGTTAGGCGTCGCCTTCCAAAATTTGGAAGACGGCACTGACGGTGGTACGTGCTGAGGTAGGCGACAAGTATTGTGTCTCGAACTCGAAAAATACTGGCTTGGTGTCCTCGCCGATGACGATGCAGCCATTGCGAGGATCATCCCTTCCAGGTGAAGAAAATCTCGAAGAAGTGAGCCATTGGAAAGCAAATTGGTTGTTTTTTGATAATGCTGGATTGGAGGCTTTATATCCCCGGGGCATGACGAGTGCAAGTCCCAACTCGTGATATTCAGTCACGGAAATTGGATATTATTTTGATCATCGTGTACTTCGAGGAGGAAGAAGACACACATAGATAGAGCGATGCAAGGCGATGCATCGTTCATCTAAAAGCTGCGAAAAGTTCCGGCGTTGTTTCAGCGTCATCACTTTTGGGATTGAGGCGGACAATTGGAGATTCAGGAGTCCTTGATTCATCCGGCATGTCAAACAGCGTTCTGCTACCTCTCGGAACCTGTTTTTTACTATCTTGGGCGACTAGCCTGGATCTGACGCGCTGTGCGTGGCATTTGCGCAGAACCCCGTAGGGGGAAGGTGGAGGCGGGTTTCGGTGTTTCTGTGTCATTAGGCTGATTACGTGACTAAAGGCAACGAGTTTGAAGAGTTCCATGTTTTCCTGCAAAAGGTAAGTAATTATTCACAAGTTCCGGAGCGTTCTGCGCAGCTAAAAGGCTAATATTAACCACACTGCCAAGCGAATTGCCTATCAGGTATACACGATCGACATCGTATATTGAACCTGGCTATTTGTAGGTTTTCACTAGAAAGTGACGCTGAACTTTGACGCGCGAGCAATAATCTGGCGATAGATCAACCAAGAGTAAAAAATAGGTCAACTGGGATTGCAGGAGTAAAAGTCACGTAATACGACTTTCCAACAAGATTCGGTCTCATGAATTGACCTTCCATAGGGGCCGCTTTCGTATCTTTCGAGTGACGTGAACAGCGCTTCCACTAGGATGCCCTCCGCCGAATGCTAAAACAACCGTTTCTTCTGCTCCGTGCCCTCGTGCGATTCCCTTCTTCCTCATCTCTATAACATCCTTCGCAAATTTAAAACGGGCTTGATCAGATCCTGTGAATATAAAGATAAATGCTCGGTACAACGTTAATAACCGATAGCAGCATTTACCAATTTCAAACGCGCGTGATTCGACCGCCGATTTAAACATGTCGAAGGGCACAAGGGAAAATACACGCAACAGTGTGTCACGACCGGTGTGGCCTTGTGATGGATCGGACTCGGATGCATTAATTTCCAGGGCATTTGGGAGTGTAACCACGAGGAAGTGAAAAACATCATCTCTCAATCTTTGGGCAAAGTGACCAAAGACAGACGTAAGCGATAGTTCAGGGGTGAGAGATCCATCTGGCGATGAAGGAATCGTATCGATGAACTCGAGCCATTCATTGATTGTCTCCACATTGATCGACTGTCTGCATGCATCATAAGCATAACCGCACAACTCATCCATGCCTCCAAGAAGACAACCAGCTGCGAGTACTCCTCGTGCATTGTCGGGCCGGATGAGACTTAGCGAAACCGATGAATATAGATATCCTAGCGCTGGAATGCCCCCGGAAATGAACACTAAGTAAAGACATAATCAAAGACACGATTGTGCATACCTATGGCAAAGCCCTGCAGGGGTAATAATAATTCTGTCAGCTCCTGTAGTTTCTAGATGACAAATTCCGCCCAGCACGGGCTCCGAGGACGGTGGTTGTACACGATAAGAAAGTAATATTTGAGTCAAATGTGACCTTCGTATCTCTCCCCCGCGTTCGGTGGCCGGAAATGAACGGAGTAATAAGTAAAATGGCACACGTACTTCTTGGGTAACCTCCGGCTCATGCTCAAGCTGTACATATATCACACGCTGAGCTCCGGACTGAGGTGAGGTTGACATAAGATGCGCTAGCAATGGCGATTTTGAAAGAACGATGGCATGAAGGCGGTAGATATTTTGGTGCACATGCTAAATGGAAAATATGTATTAGGTACAATAATCTGATGTGGTGAAAATTCGCCTACCAGTATGGTGTCGGCATAATTCTGGAAGTGTGATTATTAGGTTTCGTCTCCTAGAAAAATTGCGTACATACGCCAGTCTGGAATCCCGCATGGTATAGGTGATGTACAATCTCCTCATTGTGCATTTGATACGGAGGTCTGCGTAGGTTGAGCAATTTCACAATTGCCACGCGTTCGAGTGGTAGACCCAAATGTCAGAAAGTCGCACGCAAGGAATAGATATCAAATCAGCCGACTCACTGCGAGAAACCATTCTGAGCCACAACAAAATTCGTTGGCTCACGGTGACTACCATTGAATGAGCATTCTGACTGTCCGGTAGGAGGTGTAACCCCGTTACTCGAAACGTCGTTAGCTAATATGGACGTCGATGATGTTGCATTCATCGCAATAGAAAAAAAGAAAGAGGACAATAAGTGGAGAAGGGGTTGCTGGTACTTGCGTGTGCACTGTGTAGTTTGGTACTGAGGAACCAAGTCACGCTGGACGTCACATGTCACGGCAATACACTACTGAGTCTACTATGATTACACTTGTGAGCAGCTAATCAACGTCTGTCGATCCGTCACTGTCTACAGCTTTAGACATCACTTCATTGAAACAAAATGAGTCTTGAGGTTGTTGGTGAAACCGTTCGCAGCAGCTAGGGGTCCACAAACAATAGGGTAAGGGGACGGTGAAGAAATATATTCAATGGCCGCGAGAGATAACTGAGATTCAGAAGCCCGTCATTACAAGTCGCACGCAAAGAAAAGGTCTTTTTTCCCCACCATATGAGACCGGTCCGACGTAAAAGAACGCAAGTACTAGATATTACCCTGAAAAGATTAATGAATATTAAAACTTCGATACCGTGCAAAACAGGGACAGATACGCAAGCTTACCTCTGAATCTGGTGAGAAGGCTTTGTCAACATACTCTTGACAAGATCCGTGATTAAAACGTCCATGACGCCCGTGAATTATATATCTGCATACCTTCCCAACGACTAGCACCTCTAAGATAGAATCGAAATCGTAGATCCAAGTTTCCTGTTCGATGTTTCACGTCGTGTTGAGCAACTCACGAGATCCCAACTGGCTGCGCAGAACCATGACAGCATGCTAGTCTCAAATTACTGCTGTGTTTGCAGCAGACGCCTTGAGTTGACTCCAAAGGGCAACCTACATTCTCTGTGACATGAGTTCACGGATTCGGCTGTACACAATTTAGCGTCCTGGTCACATTCGATATAATGACAGCAAAAATGTCCCATGTAATTTTCACCTGTGCTTGTTCCGGAAAGCGATGGAGAAGGAAATATATGTTTTCCTCGCAATAGCACGAGGTGAATGGACTCTCGAGAAGCATTGCTAGTTAGGACTCCGACAAGCACCCCTACTTCGGGCGGAGGAAAGTCTCGGTCCCGTATCCTGGTGCTAAGTAGTCACCGGATTGGATCAGCTTTGTCGAGCTTGGGAATCTCGTTCCAGTTTATGAATTCGAATAATATTATTCGTCATCTGGCCAAATCGATATTCCGAAACGTTTTAAGGTACGCTGTGCTTTGAACGTTCAACGACACTAGTTCCATGCCACAGAAATTGCCTGTGCTTGATAAGATATGGGAAGTGCCGAAGAGGCAATGCAGGATATTATTGCTCATGAAAAATGGGGGACACCGGGGCGCACGGATCCTATGTTATCGCTGTCAGCATGGGGGGAACAACCGAAACTTTCGACTTACAAAATTGAAACTGTATCCCACCGCTGAGCGAGCACGGTCACACAGGATTGGGTCGGAGCATTTGATCTCGTCCCGATCAGATCATGATCTGTCAATAAGCTTTTGATCGATTTTCTTGATAGTGAGTCCGGGTGCCTTATTAGTCTCACTGTAGATTAAGATTCTCCCAGCATCCAATCAAAGAATTGGCCAATTGCAACCTGCATGGGGGAGGGGGGCTGCTATCAGTAGAAAGCTTGCTGCGAAAAAACCTTACCCCGCTCTTGTTCATGAGATTGCTGTTGGTCTGGTCCGCCAGGCAAGAGTCCAGGAACCATGATGGCCATCTAAAACATCGTGTCTTTGAGGCCAAACAGTCAATAAATTTAGCGCACGCGCAGTAGAATGACTCTATAAACTGTTAGCAGTATCGACGGATAAGCATATAAATTTCACACAATACGGGGATTTATTATCATCTGTCTGGAGGTATCTCGTAGGACAGTGAGAATATTTAACGCTCGAACCGCATAAGTGAATTCCTTACGGACCTTTAGCTTGCGATGATAGGCGGCACAGCTCGGCATGCTAATGAAAATTCAGATGTTCTCGCGGGGATGAGATCGATATTTCCAGAAAGTACAAGGAGAGCTCAAGACAGCTTGGCGTCTGGACATGTCACGGAGCCAGCCAAAGTGCGAGGGGGTGGCCACTAAGTTGGACAACATAATTTTCCGCACAAACCGCACGAACTTTGGATCCACATGGATATACCTGAAATGATAATCGATTAGATAGGAGGTGGATATTTATTTCCACTATCTAAAATCTATTCGTAAGCAGACAAGCAGCACTCCCTAATTGTCTGCGGATATCGTGGAAATCGACATCGTGAGCTGTAAAATAATCTATAATCAGTACCGCTCGAGTGCATAACGGGTAGGCAATTGCAGAATTTGAAACGCCTCCTCAGGATAGTAATGCTAGACTCACAGTCCTCGACCTCTCCCCATCTTTGAATCTGACTCGAGACCTCAACTTGTGCAGCCACAGCTGCTTCCTCGACAGTAATATGCCTCTTCACAAGGGCAAGCGCAATCAAAAAAGATTTCGTCGCATATGTCACGCGTTCCATGGCTAGAATGGTCAATGTGGTCCCCTTGGCTTCAATGACAGCTTCATGGCACTCACCGGCCAACTCCCAGGGATCCATCTCACTCAAGACGGCGTCAAGCTTAGTTCGCGTTTCTGCCGACTGTGAGTGGAACAAAATTGAGGTAAAGACTTGTATATCGATGTTGAATGTGGATGTGGCCCATTCAATTAATGGATCCCAGTGCTTGTGTTGGAGTTCTACCAACGGAGGTGGGTCATCATGATGAAAACTATAAAGCTGTGATCAGATTAATCGGTCTTGAGGAAACAAAAACGGACCAGATTGTATCGGTGTCCAAGTAATGAAGAAGAGATTCTCGCACTTCTGCGCATGTTTTTTCATCATGGAAGGCATCGATGGCCCGTGATGCTATGGAAGTCTGTGCTAGTCAATGACAGGGATCATACCATCGTTGAGCACTCGTACCACGGGAAGAGCATGAGGTTTCAGCAAAGTTTCCTGGTTTTCCCATTCGTTTGCAATGAGTGTTGCAACTAAACGCTTGTTTCTGGGTAACAGCAGGGTATTGCCAGATGGTGTTTTCAACGCTCGCATGTCAAGCGTCACGGTGAGTCCGTCATCTCTCTTTGAGATTCCTACTGTCTGCCAAAAACGCTTCAGGGTAGCCTCAGCACCTAAAAATGCATAAATAAATGATCACGACAGCCAGTTTTGCAATGCTCACGATTTGTCTCCGACACCACCGTGCCATCGGGAGGTAACGAAGCAGTAGCGAATGACCTAGAGAAACTTCGTACGCTCGAGTCACACGAGAGCCTTACACGAGCTGGTGACTGCGAAAGTAGTCGTAGTCTGCAGTACATGAGGATGGCAAACGAGAGAATTACGAATTCGTTGAAGTTAAATAATTCGGCCCTCTACCGTGACGCTGCATCATGATCATGTGATGTAGTACTAAGCTAAGTGACTAAGTACCTCAAGTGCGCAATCGATTGAGCGACTGTCAGGCAATAAGTAAACGTAGCTATTGGTGTGTAAATTTCAAGGTGATCTAGGGGCCCAGCACGAACTACACGGCGTCCGTAGTCCGTGACCCGTCCTAGTATAATCGAGAAGTTGAATCCCAAACACGTGACGTAATACATTCTGAGTCTGCAAATATTCTTTAACGCGACCGTGACCAAGATGCCGCAAGGGCAGCCTGCCGGTAGACGAAACCAACCCCAGATCTCTTCATTTTTTGTCCAGAGCTCCGCGACGAAGAAGCGTGCACTTCTTTCCTCACACTCTCCCATAGACTTAACTATAGATGATTCTGATAGTGACTCGGACGCCGAAAGGCAGCCCCCTATAAAGAGACTGAAGACGAAACATCCAGAGTCCCCTGCAAGTCAATGGCGTTTTGACGCCTCTTCCAGAGGGGATAATTCTCGTACTGCGAGCAAACAAGATCTTAAATCGCGCTCACGAGTAGACTTGGAACGTATTCTACTCGAAACATGCCCACGGTCGGGACACGCTGAAGACAGAGAGAAATTGAGCACGGATGGTGATAGTTCTCAGGATGGAAATGATTCAGACCCTACGTTCACCCAACTCCGAGCAATGTTCTCTCTCAAAGGTGGCAGAAAATCGCGTGCGAGACCTGTCATTAGGAAGACGAAAGCGGCCGCAGAGGTCGGGCCTAGTGGTGAGACCTATACGCCCTACGAGGCTCAGGTATGCCGCAGTGCTGAGTGACATGGACCTTTTGCTCATTTATTTATTTTATTGATGTAGGCTTTATCATTCATCAAAGACCATCCTGGGACAATCCTAATGATCGAGAAGGGTTACAAGTTTTATTTCCATGAGGAAAGCGCGAAAGTAAGTCAACTTAGTAACTTAGTAGTTGTGGAATCTTCGCGCGTTATGAAACACAGCTACCATAGATTGCCAGCGGAGAGCTCGGAATCGTTGCTTATATGAAGCGGAACCTTCTCACTGCCTCTATTCCCATTCATAGGAAAGAAGTACATATGAAGAAGTAAGTCATAACTTTAGTTATTACCTGAAACTCATTTGATCCTGAATCAGGCTCCTCTCCAAAGGTCACAAAGTTGGTATCATCGAGCAAACAGAAACAGCCGCCCTCAAGAAAGCGAGCGAGAACAAGAACACTCTTTTTGAACGCAAACTTACTCAATTGTACACGGCGGCAACGTAAGAATTGACTTTGCTGTATACTGAATCGATCAATTGACCTTGGTGTAGTTATGTTGATGAGGTCGGATCTGTCGACGACCTTGGTAAATACTCTGCACCACCCCTCTTGTGTCTTGTAGAGAGTCAAAAACCCGATTCTGCCGAAGGTGAAATCAGCATTGGTATGATTGCGATTACGCCAAGTACTGGTGACGTCATTTGGGATGAATTTCATGGTATGGACAATCGAGTAACCACCTGGAATTGCTGACATACAAAGCACCCAGACACCGTCATGCGCGCCGAGCTCGAGGTAGGTTTAACATAATTAGAATTTAAACACTACCAAATCGCTCTTTAGACAAGACTTGTCCACACAAGGCCTGCAGAATTGCTAGTTCCTGCCGAAGGTCTTACCAAAATGACTCAAAAGGTTTTGACACATTTTGCGAAGTGAGCGCTGTCTCATTTTTCGGATGGAGAATTTGTGCTGACGACACTTTTTACGATCTCCAGCGCTTCTCATGATCAACGAATGAGGACGGAGTATTTTAATTCTGCATTGAGCGGCTCGGAAGCTTTTGATTTTATCACAAACTTTTATACAACCAAAGCTACTGCCAGCGCCGAAGAGCTTAGCCCAGGTGAAATATAATGCTACAGCTATGTCCTGTGGACGTTCATGAGGTTGTTGCAGATAAACTTCTGGCTCTTGTCGCTGGCCTTCCTCAACTAGTTGCCGTATCTTTAGCCCACTCTATCAAGTATCTCTCAACATTCAGCATCGCAGACGCGCTTTTAGGTGTGAAGTTCTTCACAAAATTCACCGAGAGGAGTCATATGCTTCTCACCGGCAATACCATGGCTAACCTGTTCGTACTCGTCAATATAGTCACATAACAATGTCCCTGACGTGTACAACCACAGTGAAATATACCAGAACCAGACTGACTTCACTGCGCATGGTACATTGATGTCGATTTTGGATCACACATCCACGAAATTTGGGGCGCGGCTCTTGAAGAATTGGATTGGCAAGCCATTGACAAACAAGCTGTACGTACTTCCTGGGACATTGCAATCGCAACAGCTTACCGTTATTTGTCCAGGATCCTGAACCAGAGAATAGATGCTGTGGAGGAAATCAAGTCTAGCAAGTCACCACAACTAGTGGAGCTTTGCCGTATCTTGAAAAGACTCCCTGATCTTGCTAAGGGCCTGTGCCGCATTCAGTACGGGAAGGTAGGAGATGCATGTTTCAGACATATTTATTATAATCGTACTTCAGTGCACATGTCAAGAACTTGCATCGCTTCTTTCGGCTTTCGAAACCGTCGCCGATGCATTCCCGGAACAGTCAGGGGTGTTTAGTTCAAAACTCTTGAATGATATCTTTTCTTCCTTCCCGAACTTTCAAGCACCGATAAAAGCTTTACTGACTACAATTAACATCAAGAAAGCCAGCAGTGGCAGGAAAGATGAGTTGTGGACAGATCCGGAGCAATTTCCTGCCTTGGACGAATACAAGTTGGTCTGTATATTCCTTACCCTCTCTCTCATGCTCCTAATCCCTAGATTTGAAGCTAATCGAAACTGTCAAGTCGGAACTTGATGAGGAGTTGAAGTCCAGTAACAAGTTTTATTCACAAGTAAGGACGTTCACTAACTTGCGTGTTCAGTTCGTAGACTTGTCCGAAAACCATCCCTCGCGTGGACCACTGTCGCAGGCATTGAGGTGCGTCAACATGACTACAATGCATGTTGTGCTAAGTGTTCAATACAGTACTTGGTTGAAATTAAAAAGTCAGAAGATCGAACAGTGCCCACCAATTGGGTGGTGATGTCTGCGTAAGTGTCTTGATCGGCGAGACGTTCTACACTCATAAGATCAACAGAACCAAGTATCTGAGGCGTTATCACACCCCTGAGACCAAGAGGCTCATTGATGAATTATCTCGATATAAAGAAGCTCTCAATGCGGAAGCTAACAAGGCTTTTGCATCATTCCTCAGTTCCATCGCTTCAGACCATTACTCAATAATGCGAGATGTGGTCAATAAGTTGGCCGTAGCGGATTGCCTACTAAGTCTGGCACATGTGGCACACCAACAAGGGTACGTTCGACCAGAGTTCATCGAAGAGGATTCCCTAGAAATTGTGGAAGGACGACATCCAATGATCGAGGCATTACGGACGGATCCCTTCGTTCCGAACACGTTGTGTGTTGGAGGCGATTATCCCAGGAGCAGCGTCATTACGGGACCCAACATGGGTGGAAAAAGCTCTGCTGTGCGCATGGTTGCTCTCATCGCAATTATGGCCCAAATTGGATCATACGTACCTGCGAAAGCCGTTAGGCTTGGCCTGTTGGACGGGGTTTTTAGCAGGATGGGAGGTGCGTCAACCGTTTTCTGGTTTTCATCGCTGATTTCGATGCGTGAAGCGTCCGATGAGCTCGCTCGTGGACGGTCAACTTTCATGATAGAGATGGCACAGACAAGTGATATCCTGCAAAAGGCGACCCACAAAAGTCTAGTAATTCTTGACGAATTAGGAAGGGGTACATCCACTGCTGATGGGGTGGGTTCACAATGTTGATTCTACCAGATTTTCGTATGACAGCATTCATGTAGATGGCCATTGCAGGACGCTGTCCTTCATCATCTAGTGGAACGTGTGAAGTGCAAAACATTGTTCATCACACATTATCCGCTAGTAGCCACAGAGTTGGAAAGGAAATTCCCCGAGGAAGTTCAAAATTTGCACATGAGCTATACAACGGACATCCGAGTGAATGGAACTCGGGATGTGACATTTCTATATGAGCTCACCCCTGGCATCACTTTGGAGTCGTTTGGAGTCGAGTGCGGTCGTCTTGCAGGTCTTCCGGACGATATTCTTCGTATTGCATCAGAACGGTCTGAACTTTGCAGGACTGTCACTGAACAGCGCACACGACGCTCCAGGTTAGTGCATGCTTGTCATCTACCTCCTTTCAGCTCAACACTTTTACAGGACACGCAAACTAATGGCTGCCATTGTTCGCGCGCTTTCAACGCAAGATGCAATGAAGCTGGAAGAACTCCGAACTACAGTACGGCAATTTACGATTGAGTAGTAGGGACGCTCTTCTTTTTTTTCCGCTTAGCATCGGATGGAACACCTTCAGCTTCAACTTCCTCTGCCTTCCTTTTTGATGCTATCGAATTATGTTGTTTGCTGTGTTGAGCTTGTAAGGCTGAATCCACTTGAGAGCACAGCTTGTGGATAGCTAATGATGAACCGAACCGCTTCGAAGCGACGAGTCGTCCGTGCAGCGTGCGCCAAGCCCCTGAGTCCCACACGTTTTGACTACTGCTATCGACCTTGCTTGCCTGACGAATGCTAAGCATGACCAATTTGAAAAGGTCTTTGATTTGTGCGGCCGAGAGGGAAACTTGGTCGTCGCATGCTGAATCGATAAAGTGGAGAACATTTGTGTGGAGTTTCAGAATGAAAGATAAGATATCTTGTGAGTTACCCTATTAAATAAACATGGGAGGCCTATCAGTCTATTCTGAATATAACGATGAAAAAATATCCTCACCGCTGAGGTCGATAGAGTAAGAATTACGTTGAGCAGCTGGAAAGCCTGGCATTTCCTGTAAGCATTGATGGCTTTCGGAGACGTATCTAGTACGTCATCACGGAGGCGCCACCCTAATGCCGGATAACGAGTGATGAAATCTTTGAAAAATGTAATGTTCAACGAGGAAGCCTTGCGGGTCATGAAGTCTGATAGTGACTCCCTGTACAGCCGAAGAACAGATTTCTCGCAGTCGACGTTCGTTAATACTTTGCACATGAAGAGGCTGCAGTGACTGAGAGCCGCGAGGGCATCCGATGAGTGCGCCTTACGAGCCCTGGTATGCAGCTCGTCCAGTATAGTCTCTGCGTATTCTTGGTCCACTTCCTGGAGTGGATCTTTGAGCTTTGCGAGCCTATTGTTGAGGATACCACGGGCTTTGTCAGATAGCTGGCGCTCGTCCTTGCCACTTTTAGTTGTGAGTTCGATCAACGGCAACACTAAACGCAGGTTATGAGGACTCTGGGGCATCTTCCTCGTAAAAATGTCAACCAAGTCCAAGACTCTGTTCTTGAAGTGAGTAGCTTCTCGCTGTGCATTGACATCTGTGGGAGTCTAAGCTTATACGATCGTCGATGATGATGATTGCCATACTTTTACTTTGTTTGCCATCGCCAGACCTAGAACGGAAAACTTCTGCGAGGTGTTCATCAATGGCCATCATTTGCTCATCATCTACTAGTTCTTCCTCGGACTCTTCATCGGTATTCCCAATGGCAGCCTCGACGCCGTTTGCTTTGAGTGCGTCCTCAATTTTCATCCGAAGTTCGAGAGCAGCTTCGTCACCGTCATCTAAATCGGACTCGTTATCTTCGTCGGAACACTCAGCATCGTCATCGTCATCTTCGTCGGAACACTCAGCATCGTCATCGTCATCTTCATCTTCACTTGTTGCGCTCGCTGTCTCGTCTTCGTCATCGGCGACCAGATCGGCTGGGTTGCGGCGCTCCAATTGCTAGAGACAAAGTCAAATGATGTACAACTGATAGATAAGCAATAATGACTGACGACAACGATAAGATCTATTGTAGTTTCTGTGGCTGCGCTAGCGATACATGAGAATGTCCTGTTGGCTATCGCACGGAGGTAAGACGTGGACTTTTCAAGAAAACCAATGAGCACATCAACAAGCATGTCTATCGGTTTGATAGAGTTGGATTCTGGTTGTGAAATAGTGTGCGATTTTCTGCGATTTTTGGACTTCTTGTCGGTAGAAAACATGGTTGCGGCAGCAGAAATACAAGTCTGAATCACGACAGCTATCAGACTAATTCTGCATAATGTGGAAGAAACACTCGCCTCAAGTATCCCCGCATCAAGCTCATCATCGTCCAAATTGGCGCAGCGACGATGAAGCAGAGAGGCTGACAGGAGGAGCTCTACCCCTCTAGCTGCCTCTTTCATATCACCATCAACCTAATTGGAAGCAATAAATATAATAAAACGCGAGTTGGGAGCAACGAACCTGCCTAAGATGATCTATTGTCTTATAAGCTTGTTGGAGTAGCAGTTGCTCCTCCTGACTTGGCTCCGATAGACACGTGACGTGTTTGCTGTCCTTGTCCAGATGATTGATTGCATTGAAAACCTTCGATATCCACGATTCGTCGTCAACTATCCCCTCCTTTGGCGCCTTGTCACCTAATCACATTGAGTCAGGATCATTTAGTAATTGCCAATCTCATCTCGGACCTTTCTGTGATGTGGTAGGTGGTATCAAATCAGCAAGGCAACCAAGAAGTTTACCGCGACAAATCCGCCGGAAATCCTCAGAAGGAAGACTAGAGGGGGTGACATGGAGCTGCAATGGTGTCAACTTTGACTGTCTCATAAGTCAGAAAGCCAATACGAACCGCAGCAAGAAATCCCTTGGCAGACTTTCTCTTGACCAAGTATAACCCTTGCACAGCGAACCAATTGAGGATGAGCTGAATCCAATCTTCACGTTTTGGAATGGCACCGTTGCGAACGAGGGCCGTGAACTGGTCTGCAACCCAAATTTTTTTAGCTTCGTCTGCCACAGTGTCGCTGTAGTTTTGTTATGAGAAGCCTTAAGAGACTACGGAACTACACATACCCGCTAGACTCATCCATTTGTTCGAGTAGACTTTGGACATACTTCATAATACCATCGCTGTCCATCCTCGACAATATTGATTCTACGGTCTTCGTTTTGGTCAGTTTATCAAACTGTTGGCTCCCATGAATCCCAGTTAACTGTAGGATCAATGTGTAACCAAGCTCGGGTTTCTGCTGAACAAAGTCTTGGATATCTTTGACCTAGTGTAGCATCAGTCATGTGCGAATGAGTAAAAAGACAAGAGCTAGCGTACCACATCTAGTGATATTTTGTGAAGGTGACGGTCTTTGTGAGAAAGATGATTGATCCAAGACCGCATGAAATTTTTCGTGAAAAGCATAGGAAGATCGGTACCGTTTACATGGCGTAAAGCTTTTTTGAAGACAAGGAACCCCCAGAACTTCCGTTCAGGAGAAGATGACGCCCCGAACAATGTCTCTGCAAAGGGCATCAATTGAAGTTGAGAAACTGTAATGTAAAACATACCGTCGACTACTACTCTGAAGAACTCTTGAAATAATGCATTCCGGCGACGTTCTGGCTCGCCCTCAGGGAGAAAGCTGTCAAAAATGATATTCCATACATAATGCAACTGAGCTTTCCATGTCCCCGTATTATTCTGTTGCGACTCATCGCCGCCAGGGGTTTCCTAAGCAGACGGGAAATATCAATATTGGCATCTTACGTTGAACATGTAACTTCAAACCTTCAATATACGCCCAAGGGACGAAAAGTTAGCGGGAGCTAAAATGGCCGAATCTTTGAACATCGGCGCTAGAGTACTTTTCCAGTCATGCTCGGGCATCGCAGGTTGTAATTTTAACGTTATGGCAACCGTTTCTGGTGTCCAAATGTTCTTTTCACGCTCGTATACAACTTCAAGTGTAGAAGCTAGAGCTTCCTCTTTCCAAGAAACGGAAGAGTTTATAACAGCATCAATAGCCTGCCCGATAATCCACCAGGTACATTCTCGTAGCCAGGACTTCTTCTCAGCGAGGACGAGAAGATGGTTGACAAGCTCCTTGTAACTTTCAAGACTCGACGAATTTGTGGCAGACGAAGGAGATGTTGACAGCGGGGTCTGCCGTACAAGGAGTCCAGAGTGAATGACAGTGGCAAGTCCAAAGAGACGAGCAAATAGGACATCGCGTTCCTCTTGACCAGTCATGGACCCCTGAGTCTTCGATCCATCAACGATAATTGAGATGACTTGAGCAGACGTGACAGTGTCCAGCCGAGAAAGTAACTAATAGATGTGTCAAGTCGCAATATAGTCCTCGAAGGGGGGTTCATACCTCGGTGAGGGCAACGCTGAAGCCGAGCCGACTACTTTCCCGAGGACTCGCAAGTCCTCGTATAAGTCGTCGTATAGAGTACGCGACATCATGCGCATTCAAGACATCCAGGCCATCCGTTGAACCAACATTTTCATCATCATCCTCGGAGCCTGGCGAAACCTCAGGCTTGGGAATGTGTTGTCCCTGAAACTTTTCAAGGGAATTAACAAGCTTGACTGTTGCACCGATACGTTCTTTTTTCGATGCTGATGATAAATTCCAGAATAGGGAAAGAGTAGTGGCCATCGTCGTGCATAGATTCCATTCCAAAATTTCCAAAATCGAAAACTGAAGTGACAGATTGAGTTGTTGTGACATGTTTAAATCCAACGGCCTCGGCAAACAAAGCAAAACAACAAGCAACTTCCTCGCCTCCGAATCTAAGTAAGACCTCGTGCACATGAATGGCTGCACAAGTTAATTGTCACCTGTAAAATATTATAGTTCTAAGATTACGTAGGCAAATTTACTACTCCAATGTCTAGTCGAAATGCATCCAGTGCCCCTTTTCACCTATTCTACACTTTGGGCAGTCTGCACGTGGCCCCATCGTAAAGCGCTGCTTTCTCCCCGAAGTTGACTTGGGTCCTGGAGATTGGCTTATTGGAGGTGATGATGGAATTGGCATTTCAGATGATGTAGTCTGGAAAGAGTCATGGCTTTGAGTTGGTCCCTGCGATTCTTGCTGGCCGTCTGATATACCAGGCTGCACATACACCGAAGAAGCCATGGTCACGGTCATGCTTGGTGTTAACGGCTGTCCACCTGCCGGTCCCACAATGATTTGAGATAGGTGTTGGGGAGGACTCGTGTACGTTTGTGACTGTGTGGTTGTAGAGTGTGCTCGGGATGGCTGTAGCAGCCGTGGTGGCGAAAAGACAAACATCGAGGAGTAAGATTTTGAAGCTTCATCTGGGTCGAGTGCCTGGGTGTAGTGAGCAATCGAATGATACTCATTCACAAGCAATATGAAGTTCACACGTCACTTACCATGTTCTCATCCTGTATATCGCCACTTGGCGATGGAACAGGCTCGACGTTACTTGGGCATCCAATTGAGAGGTCGCTAGCTTGCCTCACCCAATCTTCTGGGCTTGGTTGATGATGATTGCTCGAGCTTTGGTTGGAAGAAAAGATAATGGAGGATGCTCGTCTACTCAGATACGTATCCTGTAAAGCAAGTGATGAACGTTTCTGTTCGTACAGCAAACCACTTGTAAGCTGTTCTATATCGTGAACAGTTGAGGTTACTCACAGGCTGGCGTTCTTGGCTTGGAGACCCAGGAGAGCGCGACCTCTTGAGTGAATAGTTGAAGGAACGTGCCATCCTGGTGGATGGCGAGTGAGTGTCGACTTCCATCATCTTCAAGCTATTCAATTAATCCTTGATCAAAGGGGCCGCGGCCAGAAAAATGTTTGTGAATAAGAAAAAGACAGCAAGATCCGCCTTTAAGCTAGAATCAGCATCACAAAACAGAGCTAAGCAGAGCCGGCGACTCGGAGTTAAGGCTAGTACAAATTCCGAACATGATCATAGTACTTTGTTCAGAGTTCAACAAATTGCGACAAGGACTACAAAGCACAGGGTATGTACAATTTGTGAGATATGCATAGCATCTACCGAGTACAATGGCTAGGATCTAGAAACAAGTACAACAATTTCGTAAAAGCAAGCGAGTGATCCAAATTTATTCCTAACTTCCTTAACCTTGCATGTTCAGCCCACCACGAGGCAGTCTAGGCTCGCCCTCAACGTAAAGCTCCCCAGTCTCCTCTCTCAACATGTCGTTGAGCCAAGCGCCATGAGGCTGGATCTTCACACCGCGATTGTACATTACGGCGAGGTACAACCAAGCAGCAGCGTTTCCGACAGTGCCAACTTCGTCAGAGACGTGTGTGCGCGCATACTCACTCATCTCCGAGTATAACTTCTCGTCAGTATACAAATTGAAGAGGTATTTGGCAACCTCGTTGTTATCGCCAACTTCTGTGAGGTAACCCGACTTCCCATGTACGATTTGAAGAGGAATACCGCCAGTGCGGGAAGCCACGACAGGTATACCAGCATGCAGGGCTTCGGAAACTTTGACCTCAAAGCCCTCGCGAAGAGAAAGCTGAAGGGCAATCTTGGCGTTAGCCATCAGAGCATCGAGAACTGTGCAGGATAAAAATTAGTCCTTGGGCAGCTTCGAACGTATGAGGATTACACACGTTGGTCACTCGGGGGCAACCTCATCACAACGATGTCCGACTGGTACATCTTGTAGTCAGGCGAGCTGACAAGGTTCATGACTTGGTCGTAAATGATGCTGGCATCAGGATCATCGACAGCACCGTGGCCACAAATCAATAGCTGGGGCACCTCCGCTTCGGTGACCCTTCCAGACTTCTTGAGCATGGCGCGGAAGCGAGCATAAGAGTCGATGACATTTGGAATACCCTTTGATGGGTCGAAGCGGGCAATTTGGACGACATAGTCTCGCTGAGGCCATTTGAGCTCGGCCATCTTCTCCTTCACACAGAGATTCCGGAATTCGCCCATGTAGAACTGGCTATCCCATGGGTGGAGGTCCTTGTTTAACCCATCGAGCCTTGCAAACAAACACATCAACAAATGGACTAATGAACTTGAACTTAACTCACCAGTCAGTGGCTGCACCCAGTAATGCGAGCTTCTCGACAGGAACATCACTAGGGACGAACTTGCTGACTGGATGGCTGATAAAGAGATCTGCTAGTTGAATGTTGTTCCAAAGGTATTTCCAGACTTCTTCCTGAGGAGATCCCTTCACATGCACGAGATCGCTGCGAATCTCGATGTGCGATCGATAGACGATGGGTAGCTCGGGTCTGACTTTTTTAATGAGGGGAATGAGACCAGGCATCTGAGGGTCGTCTGAAGGGTAAGTGGTAAGCGGTCAATAGGGCCTTGGAATGAGAATAAGAGCTCACCGATGAAAGCAATGTCAACGCCGCCAGGGGCGAGGGGCCCGCCCTCCGCAGTCCATCTAAGTCCATTTTTAAGGATCCATGCATCGAATTGATCTTTCGCCTCCTGGGTGAGGCGAAGGTCTGGAGCAGCAACACCTTGCAAGATGTTGTGGTTGTTTTTCGTAGTGCGGAATACGCTCGGCGATGGGTTCGGCACGTACCTAGCAGTCGTCAAGCGTCAGTTTCCAGGTACAAGAGAAATATAATTATGGGGTGCGGAGAATGCTACGTACCATGCAACGTCAACATCCAGGGCAGTAAGGAACCTGATGAGGGCATGTCGCATCTGTCATGGGCATGAGTAAAACTATACCGGAAGTCGTACAATTTACGCACCAAAGCTACTCCACCTACAAGCGCCAGGAAAAACCACGAGATTATGATCCGATATAGGTCAATTGACGATAAGTTACTCACCCCCTTGAGGTGTGGACGAGAAGAAACCGATCTTGACCTTTTTCTCTCGCAATTCGTCCGCGAGTTTGTTGACGGCATTCCAGGTACCTGGTCCAACAGTTTTCCTGTAAACGTCAAGATCATCTATCAGATGGATCTTTCCGGCCGCATCGACAGTAACTTGATTACGGGGACCGATGGTGAGGCGAGGGTTGTTGTTGGGGCCGTAGTACATGAGACATTTTCTTGCAGCGGAATCAGCTTGCTCATCAAGAGTACGCGGGATCGGAAGTTTCGTGGCGACACCTGACTGGAGGTTGCTGCCTTGATCCAAAAGTGGGGACGGATCAACATAGACTGTGGGGGTCTCAGCACCGGAGGGAACATATGAACCGGTGGTTGAGGAGATGCGATGCTTGATGTTTGGGCGTGTCAGTGAATCAGTGTGGAATGGCTTGATATTGAAGACGATCGGAACAATATCAGCCTCAAGCCACAGATGGGTGCAAAGATTGGGACACTGGACGAATACGTAAGCATCGATAGCAAACGAGATAGAGTGGATACTCGCCTCTTTCAAAAGACCGAGGGTAACACCGGCGCCAAGGAACTTGCACAAGTGCTCCTGAGAGAACTTTTTGATGGTTTGAAGAACGTGGTTCGCAATGTCAGATGCTGACTTGGTGGGATCGTTGGAGGTATAAGGCACGATGGCCGATGCGAAATCGGTGTTGTAGACGGAGTCGTGTATGGAAATCGCGACCTCAAAACCTTGTCCACCATTCACAAGAGCACCAGCAATACCTGCCCACATAGGCTTATAACATGCGATCAACCCATCAGCATGACGCACTGAGAGAATGATCGATCAAACATACAGTGAGGGAGGAGTAGGCATGGACAGCAGGCCTGCCTGCAGCGTCAACGCTAGAAAGCCTGCGCTTGACATGACTAGAGCCTTTGGATTCAAAATCAGTAGAAGGAGACATGGTAAGCGAGGTTGAAACTAGAAGCAAACGCAGCGCAGTATTTAAGCAAAATGGGAATCAGATTGGCGCTGGTAGTGGGGAAAGGACTAATCTTGGTTGAGGATTTTGTGCACCACAAGCGTAAGAAACTCACGCCTAAGACCCTGAGTGCCAAGCAAGAACAATGCGACCTAAACTGGATCTGTTTGAAAAGGGAAATATAGGAGTTAATGAGGGTCTCAAGGTGTCAGTGAGCGGTTCAAAATTGAAGCGAACATCATTGTACATACATACAAAACGTTTCATCGAAGTTGAACAAGCGAAGTTGATCTAATCAAAGAATTACTGTCCCTGGAATAAGTACAGGGTCTTCGGGGTCTTAACCCGTTAATCGTGTCAATATCAGTCACGATTTTGTCAAGTACATACATGACCTGCCCAGACTGTGGGGGAACTTTTGTCTGGGACGACGACGTCTGCTCATCCATCTGCGTAAAATGTGGTACATTGTCTAATTCTGCTCAGTATGTCCTTGCCTCTCATACAGAATCTCATGACTCTTCCGGGCGCCAGTTTCAACCTAGCTCATGGCTTTCCTCTGCGGCTCCCCTCAAAAATATTCACAAGCAAGGATGGAATCTCGCTGGGCAGCAGAAAGGAGCGCGTGAAAGAGGCAACGCTGTGAGTTTATTTCTTCTTTTCTTTCCTGGGAAATTATGTACTCACCGCACGTCGTGTCAGATCGCCATGAGCATTTTCATCACTTCCGTCCTGACCAAGTTGAAAAACCCCGGTCTATCCCCACGTGCAGAAGCCATCTTCACACAAGCTATGACAAAAGGCAAATACAGGTGGGGACGCAAGGCAAAGCTGGCTGCCGGTGCATCCATGGCTATTGCCCTACGTGAAGCACACAAGTCAGATTCCCTCCGTGACATTGCCTTTTTTCTTGATGTTTCACCGCTATCTCTGTCGCGCGCATTCGTAACCGTGGTATCTCTTCTAGATTTTGACCTAAGTTCCTCAGACCCAGCTGTACATCTTCCCATACTCCTGTCTCATCTTCACTCCCTATTACATCCTGAGTCTTTCACTTCTCACCTACCTCCAGATCTCGTTACCATCCTCACACCGTTGTCGTCTCATGCGGTATTGCGTACTGCTACGTCCCTATCGGCTATCATAAGCCGAGAGGCTTGCGCTATACCCGTACTACAGTCTCCCACCCCTCCTATCGCTTGTGCGATGCTCATTCTCGCACTTGAAGCGGAAACACGCAGCCCCCTGCCACACCTAAGTGAGCTGGCTAATGCGCTCGCGTCGCGCTTTGGCTTTGCACGCGGTGTAGTTACATCGCGTTACAAAGCATCCTATGATTTAATCGAGGAATGGATCCGAGAAGTCCCTTGGCTAGATCAATTCGTATATAAGGGAAAGGGCCGCGGTGCTTCTGCCCGGTCGAAGATTCCGAAGCGCTCTATTGTTGCGAAGGGGATCAAAGATGTCATTCAATTTCAAGAAGAGATATGGACCAAGAAAATGTCCGCGCTTGGAAAGACCAGTATCATAATTGAGGCGGATCCGGCAGACGAAGACGGCAAGAATGATGAGGATGCATTTTTGTTGGAGACATCTTCAATCACTGAGCTTCCTGAGCTTCGACATCAACAGCCACGCAAGAAACGAAAAACAAAAGATCATAGCGTCGAGGATGCATATAATTTCCTGCTCAATCCTTTGTCCGCGAAATCGTATACTCTGTCGAATCCTATGATATCCGAGGACCCGGCCGTTTCAACAACGCGTTCTGATACTTCCTCATCTATCTTAACACCGCCAACTGTTCCATTTACAACGCATCTCCTCAGTACTTCGTCGTACGATTCGAAGCATCCTCCTTCTCGTCTCCAGCTACTGGCTCTCAGCCGAGGTGGGGGGTCTGCGGAGTACATTCGAGACGATGAGCTATTCGCAGAGGGTGAATTAGAAGATGTTCTTCGAAATAGCGAGGAACAAGAGGCCTTGAAGCCACTATTCAGACTCCAATGGCAAGAAGATGATGACACAGTCGCACACCACACAGATTGTGGACCACAAACCGCCAGAATGGAGGTGAGTCGGGGTTCGGGACGGATCGATATGGCAGC